CCACAACCTTTCTAGTAACTCCCTAATTCACATTATTCCATCCACTAATAATAATAATAATAATAATAATAATAATAATAATAATAATAATAATAATAATAATAATAATAATAATAGTAATAGTGATATAATATTACTACTAGTCATTAAATTATCCTTATTATTAATCATATTATATTATCAAACTCTATATTTATTAAATGGTTTCCTACACTTTAAGGACATCCACCCACGCTATCAGTCACACCCCCACATAAATGCGCACAAACAATTCATAAATAATTAATTTAAAAAGAACGGGCGTTACAACTTGACTCTTCAACTAGCTGACCATTCAGTCAAATATCCCGTATATATATTAGAAAATGTCCCGGTTCACATAGGTCAATTCTACATTCCCACAAATTTTGTGATAATGGACATAAAAGAGGACTCTAATATACCCATTATTTTGGGAAGGCCATTTTTAGCCCCAACCGGAGATATAATTGATGTTAAAAAGGGAAAGCTAACTTTTGAAGATGGTGAGGAGAAAATCGAATTTATCTTAGCTTAGTTTCTAAGAGTTCTAGCTATTAACGATACATGTTGCTTGTTAGATTTTATTGATGAATGTGTGAAAGAAATGGAGATACAACCATCCGAGTACCGAGATGCGCTTAAAATTCTAGCACCTCCTATATTCAAAGACGATGATTGGAAAACACCATTCGTAGATGACAGTCTAAGAGAATGTCTTGCACTAACACCCGATCCAATGCCAAGCCCAGACAAACCTACTATAGAACTTAAGATATTACTCAAAAATCTAAGGTATGAATTCCTAGACACCAAGCTTGAGAGACCTGTGATAGTTAATGCTGACTTAGGACAAATTGAAACTGAAAAGTTGCTACATGTTTTAAGGAAGTATCCGACAACGTTGGGATACAATATTTCAGATCTAAAAGGTATAAGCCCGTCCCTATGCATGCACCATATTATGTTGGAAGAAGACAGTAAAACCTCTAGAGAACACCAGAGAAGAATAAATCCCATCATAAGCGATACAGTCAAACAAGAAGTGAAAAAGCTATTGGAAGCAGGAATCATATATCCGATATCAGACATCAATTGGGTCAGCCCAGTACATGTCGTACCTAAGAAGGGAGGTGTTATTGTAGTTAGTAATGAGTAAGGCGAAACCGTTGCAAAGTGAGTTCACACTGTATGAAGGATGTGCATAGACTATAGAAAGCTGAATAAGGCCACTCGTAAAGACCATTTACCTTTACCCTTTATCGATCAAATGCTTGAACGATTGGCAAAACACTCTATTTAGATGGATACTCTGGATTTTTCCAATTTCCTGTTCATCCTGATGACCAAGAAAATACCACTTTTACCTGTCTTTATGGTACATTCGCATATCGACGCATGTCGTTTGGATTATGCAATGCGCCTGCAACCTTCCAAAGATGTATGATGTCAGTCTTTGCTAATTTTATAGATAATATAATGGAAGTATTTATGAACGACTTCTTTGTATGTGGGCAAGACTTCGAAGGGTGTTTCTCAAACCCAAAGTTAGTACTGTTGAGATGTGTTAAAGTTAATCTTGTACTAGACTGGGGAAAATGCCATTTCTTGGTCTGGGAAGGAATTGTGTTAAGTCATGTTGTATCCAATCGAGGAATCGAAGTTTGAGGACAGAGCTCTGAGGAGGAGGTTTGAGGCAAAAACTTTGAAAGGTTTTCTGAAAGATTTGAGAGGGCTTAGAGTCGACAATTAAGGCATGAAGAGTATTGCCTTCATTGTTTTCAATGTATTTAAGGTCGATTTAAGGGTTCAAAGAGTTTGAGGCTGATTATGGGATAAAGGGAATTTGGCCTTCGTGACCTAAATCTATTATTGAGATTTTAACCGTAGGGATTTATTTGGGTTAAAGGAAATTAGGCCTTCGTGGCCAAAGCTCTGATTTGACATTTGTCTAACCCTGTAGGGAAATTTGATAATGAGGAACTCTAATGATTGTGGTGTACTTGTAAGGATTTATGGGATTTAGAGCGTGAATATGATACGGGATTGGTCTAATAAGTTGTAGATTTTGTGCCTTTATCGCCGTAAGACCTTAGGGATATTTTAGGGATGTTTTTGGATTATTAGGAAAGTGAATCGTGGGACTTTTGAGGTTGATTTTAGGTTCTAGTGCGTAACAGCGCTTTGCTGTCATCGCGTGTTCGCACAGCGAACGAAACTCGCCCCAGACTCGCACTACGAAGAATCCCTTGCACAACGAAGAAACTCGCCCCAGACTCGCACAACGAACGTAGCAGAGTTTCGCGAATTCTGATTTTGTACAGTGATGCCTTGATGTTTTGATGTTGTGGTTCCTTTAACGAATTAATATGAGTATGACAGTGAATTATATGTGATTTATACATGATTATATGATGATTCCTATGATGTAATGATTGATGAACTATGATGATATTCCATGCGTTTTGATGATTCTCTGATGGCATGATTTTTGATGATGATGATTATGATGAATGATGATGCACCTATGATGTTATTATGAGGATGATTATTGACGTGTGCGTCATGCATTCATGTGCATCCGGACTTCGATTCAGGATCTTGATTTCTTTGACTTCAGTGCCATTGTGCGGATGTGAGATATTTTGATGCGTTCTCGAGTAGAATCGATCCTATTGATGGGGATCTATGGAGGGTTGATGGCCCAGTGTCCATCGAGCTATGATGATTGGTACCACATGCATGAGTCTTATTGCATTTGCATTTATGAGATGATCGTGAGTAATTTATGATGTTATGGCCTTTGATGTCCATTGATGAATATGATGATGTTGAATATGAAACTGACGCCATTTTATATATTGATTTTCTACATTGATTATTATGAATCGTTTTACTCACCCTGCCTGTTTGAATGTTGCCTCCACGTGGGTAACGTGCAAATGACCAGGTTTAGCCGTGGATGCCGTCGAGGACTTTTTGAAGTTTTGGGTCGTTGGCCATTGTGGTTGACTTAGAGGGTCATGCTCTGATAGTGTAACATCAGGTTGGGGTATTTGAGTCAAACCTTATTTTATTGATGTTTTTGTTATGTTGATTTCCTTGTGGCGTAAGGTAAACTTTGGATTATGCCTTTTTGAGTTCCGCTGCCTATTGAAGAAATTTTTGATATCATTTGAGAAAATCCGTTGTTTACGGAGCTATGACTTATATTTGATTTATTGGAAATTGTACGCCATTTGAGGGATTTTTTTATTGAATTTAATATTTTACTCTGATAAATGTGAATATTTTGTCTTTTATTTTGTGGGGTAGAAAAGGGTGTTACAGTCCGTACGATGAATAGTGTTTTCGAGTTTTTGGGCTTTTTTTGATTCGGTCAATGGATCCATGTGATTTTGGGCTTTGTTTACTGGGTATTTGCTATTATAAATATGTATCTCTTCTATGCTTTGTGTGTGACAATCTTAGAGTTTTCACCAACAAGTGAGACAAAGAGTTTAAAGGTATAACATAAGGTTTGGGCGCCTTCAGGATTATTCTTGGGAACTTGAAGACGAATGCTATTTTCTTGTAACTCATCTGCAATTTCTTGTAATAACTTTCTAAATATAGTAAATTGGAGAGTTGTCATCGAATATCATTTTTTGGTTACTATTGTTTTTTGCCTCACAAATTAATATTAAATTTTGTCGTAATTCACAACAGAGATAATTGAAATAATAAAAGGTCATAAGGTAAAAACTATAAACTTAAAAACTACTTTAAATAATTTTAAAAAAAATTAAAAACTAATAAAAAACTAAAAATTAAAAAATAATTACCAAACATAATTTTTTAATTAAAATAAATTAAAAAACTAAAAGCTAAAAGCGCTTTTTCTTTACCTTCCCAAATACTAACCATACTTATAATGACCTGAATTATTCTTATATCTAGGTTCACCATCTATTTTCACTCCCGACCACGCCCAAACGAAATAGCGCTATTCAAAGTTGCAACAAGCAATTAAATTTGCGGGTGGTCCAAAGTCATTAAATCCAACGACTGTTATAGAATCAGACTATAGTCAACGCTAAACAAAGCCGAGCCTGTATGTCCGATGATGGACATTACCCACCGAACAAACCCACCCACATACACATCACAATCATTTTTTCCACAACCAAACAAAATTTCCCCTCCCAAAATCCACCCCAACAGATTCCTCCACAACCAAACACATCGTTAAACAATCACTTTCATTCCTCCGAAATTACCCACGTACCCTCAACCCCATCGCTTTCAAAAACAGACAAACCAGTGCATAAACGTCATTCAACACGTCTCTTTTCTCATCATTGTAAATGGGCCTGGCCCAAAGAAAAAAAGAAGCGTTTTCCCCCTCACCCAACAGACACACCTTCCCCACTCTCTCTCTCTTCAATCACTACCCGTGCACAAGTGCGCACGTTAGCTGTCTCCTTACACAATCATACTCTCTCTCTCTCTCCTCGCCACTTCCTCACAGTGAAACAAAAATACTTTCTCAACTTTTTAGTTTTCATTTTCATGCTTGAAAGTTGAAATCGTAACGAAACAAAACTAGATACATTAACAATGCATTTATTAAACTGCGTAATGGCATCTTTAGTAGATATAGCTTAGCCTACAGAAAATGGTTAATTGAGCAGTGTCTTAAATTTATGTGCGTCTTCAATTTTGCAGTGGTTCAGCTCTTTATAGCCTGCCATAACAACAACAACACCAACTGTACATTACTCTCTTTCCATCTTTACCATACCACCCTCGTTACTCTCTCATCTTAAATTAACACTACTCATTTATTTATCATTCATCTCATTAAAACGCTACCGTTTCGTTTCCTATTCCTGCATATCTTTATTTCAAATCTCAATTTCCGATCAATTGAAATCGAACCGTTGAAATCGGAGATCTCTCTGCATTTTCTTGTTTGATCATGTATTGGTTTTGATCAAACGATGAATCCTTTGTGCTGCATTGCTCCGGTTTCCATCGATCGGGACCGGAGTAACCCTGTGGTGTCGAAATCTACTGCTCAGTGTCAGTTAGGGTTGGATTCGTCGATTAAAACGGTGAACTCTGCTTCTAAATCGAGTATTTCAACTCATGATTCGTCGGTTGCTGCTGATTCAGTTAAATCGTCCTCTGCGGGTTTGAATCACGATGAGGATGACGTGGTTCATGAGCTTCGGGATTCTAAGGGGTTTGCCGGTGGCAATGGCGGCGGTGTGGCTGGTAGTGTGGCGGGGATACTGTATAAGTGGGTGAATTATGGGAAAGGTTGGAGGTCTAGGTGGTTCGTGTTGGAAGATGGTGTGCTTTCTTATTATAAGATTCATGGACCGGATAAGATCTTGATGAGTCCTGCTAAAGATAGGAGTGTTAGGGTGATCGGAGAGGAGTCGTCGAAGTATGTGAAAAAGGCGAATTGGAATCTGAATCGAGCTAATGGAGGAGTAGGAGGAGGAGCTACTAAGCAATGCAAGCCCTTCGGTGAGATTCATTTGAAGGTTTGTTCTTCTTGTTATACTAGATTACCAGTGGGCGATACGCAGTGTTTAATTTTTCCCTTTTCTGGTCCCAACCGTACACACGCCCACTGTAATATTGAAATGGGTTTTTACCCCATGATTTTTGGTGTTTAGATGCAGTCATTTACTTTTTACTGTTGCTTCAACTTTATAGAAGTTTAAAATCAGTGGCTTTAGTGCTTGATTTTGAATGTTTGATCAAACTATTATCCAAACATGCTGCAAGTCATATATGTATGAAGGGCTGCGAGCTCAAAAACCTCATGTTTATCCGCCATAGCGGCCATTGCGCTGCTATCTGATAACACTGATTGTTGGTATGCCTAGTAACGCAGGGTATTAGACAGAAATCTCTAAACTGTCATGCACTGTCACGCGTACATCACTTTTGCTTTTGCATTTGTATGCAAACATGGATAATGCATCTACTTTGAAACATGCTTACAACAGCATTCTCTCTGGTTTGATGATCACTCAACCAGGTGGTGATGTATTTGAAATATGGGCTAAAACAACCTTACTTGTTTACACATATTATTGATGTTTTTGTTAAATGAACAAACTTATCATTATACATACCTGTGTCTGGCACTTGGGTATTTGAAACATTTGGGTTTTCAGTGTCTTTCACCATCTGTTGCTGAAATCACATCTGCAGCATAGTTATGAGGATTGTAATTATATCCTTACACTTGTATCACATTGTGGATAAAATCTACCATGGGTGTACTTTTCTTTGTTTTTAAATGTATACTTTCCTTGCTTGTCAATTCGTGCTAGTGCTGGACCTAATTAAGTCTTGCTCACAGGTTTCTTCAGTTCGCTTCAGCAAGTCTGATGAAAAGCGGCTTTCTTTATTTACTGGGACAAAAACTCTCCACTTGAGGTGTGTATCGAGAGAAGACAGAGCCATGTGGATTGAAGCCTTGCAATCTGCGAAAGATCTTTTTCCTAGAGCTCTGACAAGCAGTGATCTTGCTACTCCAGAAGATATCGTAGTTTCGACAGAGAAACTGCGATCAAAGTTATCACAGGAAGGCATTAGTGAAGAAATCATCAATGACTGTGAGTCCATTATGCTCTCGGAAGTCTCATATCTACAAGGCAAGTTGAAGTTTCTTCAGCAGAAACATGTTATGTTGTTGGACACCTTAAAACAGTTAGAGGTATTGATCATTACTTTCTAAAAACATCTTGGAACATTGTATTCTGATTCATAATCTGCATTTCTGTTGGGATGGTTATAACATGATAGTGGTTTTCCGACCTGGCTGCAGAATCAGTTTTATTTTTGTGTTTGGTTTTTACTTTTCCCTAGCTCAGCAGGTCACCTTGTCCGGCTTAAGATTTCAAAAATTACTTTGGGCAATAATAACCTACTGTTGGAAGTATGGGATGCTTACACCTCTACACGACTTTCAATTCTACATTAGCCTTCTAGTGTTTTAGGAAATTGAAATTGGCTAAAGCATTTTATGATGAATGTTGACATTCTTTGCTTCATAAAAGAATGTTGCATGTTTATTGTTGGAACCTCCCTAAATAGTGAAAAGTAATGTTTCTGTGGATGACATGTCATGGATATACTCATCCCTCATCTGGATTATCACCACCATCCGTATTCACCGGACTTTGTTGACTAAAGCATAATAATTGATAAAGCTGGTAGCAGTATTAAATTTGTTTGTAATTGGTATTGTGTACAATTTTTTGGTTTAAAAAAAGATGTAAAAATTATTAAGGTGGTTAAGTTCCTCTCCATTTTCTATTCACTCCATTTCTTTCTTTACTATAGTTTTGGAAATATAAATACAAAAATGTGACATTAATTGAGTCTAAATGTTTTTTTATACACTCCAAAACATTTAAAAACTGTAGTAACAGAGAGAGGAAATGAAGAGTCTAACTCTAGTTATGAGTATTTTGGCAAGAAGCAATTAATGCAGTAGATAATTTAAGTGGGTCCTATAAAAAGAAACAAATTTCTTGAGAGGGTCCTATCCTATCACAGGGACAGAAGTAGTACTTAGTTTTTTTATTATTATGGTAAATTCTTCACCTATTATTGTTACTAAGGGTAATAAAGCACTGAATTACACTCTATAGTGATACAAACTAGAATACTTTTTCCCTTTTGCATTATGTCACTTTGATTTGTGGCCATTTCTAAGTCAGTAAATAATGTTGATACGATTTTTTTTTATGGAATTTATTCAATTTACATCCATTTTGAACCTCTATGCTGGCAGTGCCTTGTTAAATGATGGAATTATTATTAGCCAAGATTTTGATTTTCTCTTAAAAAATTAATGCAGACGGAGAAAATAGAGCTGGAAACTACTGTGGTAGATGAAACAAAGGAACGTGAGTCATATTGCGGACAAGGGAATAGAAGGTTTAGTGGTGAGTGTGGTGTTAATATTCTCTGACATGTCGTTTGCCTTGAACTGTCATTAAAATCTTTACGTGGGTAGAATTCAATATGAACACCATTTTAGATAGTTATGTTTATTCTGGCCATGTATTATAGAAATTAAAGAATTTTAAATATTAATGTCCGTCCGAGATTGAAATACTGATAATCTAGAAGTTTATTTTCCCAAGTTCCGACATTGTTGAATTCTGGGTAGTTGTAGCTTGCATGAAGCTACCAACTGATTGTTTTGAAATTTCTATGCCGGTGGCAGTCATCTTATTCCTTGCTTTTACCATTCATGTATCAGATTTCTATTCTGTTATGTCGGAAGGCAGTGCTACAGATTCAGTAGCTGATAATGAAAGTCAAGATGGAGCAGATGCTGAAACAGACGATGACGACGGGGCATATTTTGATACAAATGAGATTTTATATTCAGATGCCTTAAGAAGTGCTTCCTATCGAAGTAGAGAAGGTACGGGAAATGCTAATGTATATGATAGAGATTATATTCTCCATGATGGGTTGCATGGGTTTGAGAAGGTGATCAAAGATATAAGCTATCCTTATGTCAAAAGAAGGGATAATTTGCCAGAACCAAAAGAGAAAGAGAAACCTGTTGGCTTGTGGTCAATTATTAAAGACAATATTGGGAAGGATCTTTCTGGAGTTTGTCTCCCTGTTTATTTTAATGAACCACTCTCTTCATTGCAAAAATGTTTTGAAGACCTGGAGTACTCAAATCTAGTTGATAGAGCATGTGAGTGGGGAAAGCAGGTCAGGTCCTCAGCTGTGCTTTCTTTTGTCACAACGCTGTTTTAAAAGCATGATCTCCTAGATTCATTTTGTCAAGGTAGATAATATGTTTGGTTAAATTTAAGAAAATCACTTATAAAAGTTTCAGTATTTCATTTAGCATGATAATTTCACTTGTTCAACATGCTGTACAGCATTGTTCTGGTAATTGGGTATTTAGGCTCATCAAATCTTTGCTATATTTTTACCAAACTATTCTCTCAATATTTTCCACTTTTGTCGCTTGTGTTTCTAAATCTTCCTCTCTCCTTTCTCTCTAAGGAATTGGTTTATAATAGCATTGCCAAGATTTGCCAGTTATATAGATGCTAAAGTTGAAAAATCTTGAATTTGTCACAAAATTTCAACTATGGGATTGTGTTAGAACTGGTATCTAAATGAATAGAATATTATGGTATAATATTGATGAACTACTCTTGAAACAATATCTCATAGAGCAATGAAAGGACCCAATTACTGATAAACAATCTGCCTTGAACGAAACCGACATGAGCAGTTTCTGTAGAAGCAATTACACAATAAGTGAATAACAACAAAACCGACATGAGCAGTTTCTGTAGAAGCAATTACACAATAAGTGAATAACAAATTCTGTAGAAGCAGTTACACAAGAAGTGAATAACAAACCTGACAGGAAATTGAGAGTCTGCTCTCTCCCTTAACCAACCTGTACCGCCTAATAAATTTCATACTTAATTCTAATAACAAACTACTATCTGTAGTTACATACACATAGCTAATTAACATAACTGCTCCTAATAACATATTATGATTAACTACCACTAGTAACTTAATAACTGTCTAGTAATGTTTACTAAAGGTTTAACAGATTGAAAGTGGCTGGTTTGAATGTAATATTCAAGTTTTTTCAATATCAATGTCAATTTGGAATTAAAAGTGACACTTGGGCAAAATTCAACCATGGACCAAAATATCCTCCGTTTGTCCCATAGAGCAACACATTTGCAACATAAATTTGTCTTAAAATAAGAGAGTCACTCATTGTGGGATGGAGGAAGTACATTTTACTTTGTAATTCTTGTTATTGTTTTTTCTGCTCTCAAAGTCTTTCTCGTAGTTGAGTTTTTTTAAAGATAGATGTCTATGATTATATTTTTTAAGATAGATGTCCAGCATCGATCTTTAGAGGCCTGAGTAGATGTAGTTCTAGATAGGCTATTATACTGCTTTTTAGTATTGTTTGTGTGTAAGCTTTTCTCAAATATCATTTTGTTAAAAGGAAATATCTATTTTGATTAGCTTGAGGGAAATCACTTCTAAAAGAAGAGAGAAAAAAAATGTATGAAAAACTATTTTTCATGCATAGTTTTCAACTCAAATGCTTTTTGAACCATGGTTTATGCTTTTTCAAAAGAAAGTACTTGCTTGATTTCCTATAAAAGTAAAAATTGAGAAAGGAAAATATTCCGTTGTTAAGTGCATGTTTAATTTTTTTTCTCCAAAAAAAGTACATGCTTCATTTCCTATAAAAGTAAAAGTAGATGCTTGATATGTTTCATGTTTATATTTAGCTTGTTTGAAGGGTATGACTTTAATCAAGGTTTTGTATGGTGCAGGGAAATGAATTGATGAGAATTCTAAATATTGCAGCATTTGCTGTGTCTGGCTATGCGTCCACTGAAGGTCGACAGTGTAAACCCTTCAATCCGCTACTCGGGGAGACTTACGAAGCTGACTATCCCGATAAAGGAGTTAAATTTTTTTCTGAGAAGGTAACCAAAATTTTGTTCAACTTAGATTTTTGGGAATGAGTCAAATTTACAGGAAAGCATAGAAATAAGGGAAGTTATAAATTTATTGTTTCATTCCCACTGAACCTGAAAATAGCAGTAGCGTGTCTATCTTATGCTGCTGCTAATATGATCTAACAAGAAGCTGGCTGCAGGTTAGTCATCATCCAATGATTGTTGCTTGTCACTGTGAGGGAAGAGGGTGGAAGTTCTGGGCAGACTCCAATTTGAAAGGAAAGTTCTGGGGGCGTTCTATTCAGTTAGATCCTGTGGGTGTTCTCACCCTTCAGTTTGAGGACGGCGAGACATTTCAGTGGAGCAAGGTCACCACTTCCATATACAATATTATACTAGGTAAAATTTATTGTGACCACTATGGTACTATGCACATCAAGGGCAGCGGAAACTACTCTTGCAAACTGAAGTTCAAAGAGCAATCAATCATTGACCGAAATCCACATCAGGTAGAATTGTGCGCGACTGCAATATCCCTTTGATCACAAATAAACTTTATTTCGATTTGATATATTGTTCTTTTATTTCTCCCCTACTTTATCTCTTAGCAAAGTTGACTGCAGCACCGATGTTCTATTTTAACGAAGTGGCAAATAAAGTAGCATCGTGTAAGCTGTCAGCTGTAGCACAACACTAAGTGCTTGTTTTATTGAAAATTGTTTTCTGTTTTCACTATTAATTACAGATTTGTTACATAAATATTTGAAAGCAATGAAAAATTTAGGTTAATCTATTTGCTCTCCTCAGGTCCATGGGTTTGTTCAAGACAACAGAACTGGAGAGAAGGTAGCAATGTTAATTGGAAAGTGGGACGAAGCAATGTACTATGTACTTGGGGATCCAACTACAAAGCCCAAAGGTTATGATCCAATGACGGAAGCTGCATTATTGTGGGAAAGGGACAACTATGTCCCCAAGACGAGATATAACCTCTCTCCCTTTGCAATTTCCTTGAATGAAATAATGCCCGGTTTATTGATGAGTTTGCCTCCAACTGACTCAAGGTTGAGACCAGATCAGAGACATCTAGAAAATGGAGACTATGAATTTGCTAATGCAGAGAAACTAAGGCTTGAACAGTTGCAGAGACAGGTAATTCATCTACAACTCAACTTCAAATCTAATGTGTTTGGCAATCTGTTGTCAGAATAAGCATTATGCTATTTTGTGCATTATGTTTTTCTTTATTGAAAATCAGTGTAACTTAAGCGGTGATTAATATTCAAAATTCAGGCAAGAAAGATGCAAGAAAGAGGATGGCAGCCCAGATGGTTTAAGAAGGATGAGGATGGTTCTTACCGATACATGGGTGGTTATTGGGAGGCAAGAGAAAAGAACAATTGGGATGAAATCCCTAATATATTTGGACAAGGTTGTGATTTGCCTTCATGTTCCGAAGAGACTGTATCCTACTGAGTTCTTGTTTTCCTTTATATGGATGTAGGTTGTAAGTTATTATATATATAAAAAATTTCTTCCAGTTAGTGTTTCCGTAGTAGAAGTTTCTTCTGGCTGAGCATTTTAGGCAATTTGTCACTAACTTTTGCAATTTGGGAGAAAGAATTGAAATCAGCCTATGTGAATTTACAATTTGTTCATACTGATGTCTCGTTAAAAATGCACCTCTTTTGTTCAGGAGCTAGATTTTTAATAATAGAGAAGTTTCTGATAATTTGATTTTTTTTTTGTTGAGATTTCAACAAGATTTTACGCACTAAAAAGTTTTGATATACTATCAATAAATTTTAAATCATTTTGCATGACTTTTAAATTTAAATATTAAAATTAATATTTTTTAATGATTGAATGGTTATAATTGAAGGGTCATGATTGATCAACGGTGTTAGAAGATGTTTACAATGTCTATATGAAATTAATTCATATAGAATCTCTTGTATAGAATACTTACATAACTAGTGTCACATAGTAGTATAAAGTAAAATTGTGAATTGTGAAGAGAGATATTGAAAGTGTTGGGGAAATCACTATTATCATTTGAGAACACCTTTGGAAAATTATATACCATCAGCAAATCACCAATCACGAATTTGCTTTCAGCTTTTAACGAGGCGAACATCATAAACACTTCGAACTCTGGAAACATCACACAACGAGGCGAACATCATAAACACTCAGAGTCATTCCTCAAAGACTCCTCCACTTGCTTAGAAAATATAAACATCAAATCTTCACCTTCGAACTCTGGAAACACCACAAACTTTTATAAACAATTGATATGATTGTAGTTGAACTCCAACCAATTCATTCTCAGAATAACATCGAGTTGATTTAATAATAAATTGAATAAGTCCATACCAAGTCCTTCCCATAAATAGTTAAAGGATAATTTAAACAAACCAATGAAGTAGTCACCAAACTATTAGCTAGGGTATCAATGATTATACTCCCAATCATTGGAGATATTTCCATATTCAACTTCTTAGCACAATCAAAAGATATAAACGAATGTGTCGCACACATTTTAATAATAGCAGTTAGAGCAATACCATTAATGGAACACATACCTCTAATCAAGATATCAAATCTAGTGGTCTCCACTCCATTCAAAGCAAAAAAATTTCCACCGGATTGAGCTGTCTTTAGCTTCTAGCACTGAGTACTAATGGGATCTGACTCGCCACAGTTGAAACAAGTCACAACAGTACTATTGCATTCAGTAGCAAGATGTCATGGCTTGTGGCTCTTGAAACATATTGTGTCCGCACCCCTGCACTCAGCTGCACGATGACACACTTGAAACATTTAAGAGGAACATAATTTTCTCCCCTACTTGTCTTTTTCCCATCTGAAGCCTTGCACTCCCCTTTATCAGCTAGAGCCCTATAAAGTTTCTCACAATTTTGACTTCCACTTTTCTTTTCACGAACACTCTTATAGTGAATAGATCTAGCATGAATATCATCATCATAGATCCTACCTTATTAATCAACACAAAAAACTAACGGGTCTCCTGATATCCGATGAATTGCTTGATCTACGGACGCAAGCCACTTTCAAACTTGATACACTTGGAACCTTTAGCTCCTACTCCATTGTAATATGGGCAAAACCTAGACAACTCCTTAAACTTAGCGGCATAGTCAACAACAATCAGGTCTCCTTGTTTCAACTCAAGGAACTCAATCTCCTTCTTACTACAAACATCAACAGGAAAGTACTTCTCAATGAACTTAGTCTTGAAATTCTCCCAAGTGATCTCAGTACCTGCAACTTCAAGCCTCTGACGAGTATTATCCCATCAATATTTCGCTTCCTCAGTCAACATATGAGTACCAAACAGGACCTTCTACGCGTTTGAACAAGCCATCACTATGAAGATCTTCTCAATATCTCGCAATCAAACTCTATATGCATGTAGTACCGAGTGTTTTGGATGATCAGAGGTTTGTTACTGATTAACATCCCGCCACGGTCGCCTCTCTGAACTGGGCCGCCCCAAGCCCCCCTCTCTGAACCAGACAACTCTACAACTCAAGAATGCATGTAATGCAACTCAACTAAATCAATATTTGTCACGATCCCTTCTCTGAATATGACACATCACATCTCAACCATTATTCTTTCATGGCCACTCACCATGAAACTCAACAATTCTCATTATCAATAAATTGATTACAACTCAACATAAACTCAACCATTTCATGCATAATCATTTTCAATTTAATAAAATGCATCGATTCACATCAAACAAAATCACATAATCTCAAACAGTACATGATAATATCGATTAATCGTCAAAACAATACAATGCCATAATATTAACTCGAAAATAACTCAATTCTGCGCCGTGACCCTCGCTAGGCAACATATAACTTGTTGGACGAGCCATTGCTAGACGAGCTCTTCTCTCGCTGGACGTGCATCTCAAAAAATATATTTTCCTCACCCTGCATATCTCACTGGGCGAGACACTACTCGCCGGGCAAAGTCCGTCCTCGTTGGGCTAAATCGCTCAGACCAGAAACCCCAAAACACGATTTCTCCACCATTGGAGCCCTATCACAACTCTGATTTCGACCCTAATCGATCCCAAACACACAAAATTAAATCATACGTGTTAATACATTATTAAAAACAATCAAATAGGCACATATTAACACATTACATCTATTTGATTCAAAATCATCATCACCTTCTACAATTGCAACACAACTCACAAGAACACCAAATTTTTGAATTTAATCAGATACCTTCACACGAAATTGACATAAAATCAATACATAAAAATTGACATCAAAATAAAATTATCATGAAAGAGTTCTACGAAAACTCATCTCAAGCTCTAAACTATTCAACAATGGTGAAAAGGGAAAATTCCAAAGGAGGAGGGTAAGAAACTCTCTATATCCTCTTTGTCTAAGCACCAACACATGAACAATTCTTCCCCTTTACCTTAGAATTGTAGATTCTCTAAACTTTGGTTATGGTGTCTCCTCCTAGCTCTCCGTTTCAAACCCTTGCTTGCCTCTTCTCTCAAAATTGCTCTTATTTCACGTATTGTAAAACTAAACCCCATTTTCTTCCATTTTTTTATTTAAACAAAACAATTAAAACCAATTTTTTTAATATTACTCATGATACCCTCATCTCTTGTTAATTACTCATACACCCCAAACTCTATTTTTCTTAATTTATATAATTAAATCAATTAAAATTGAATAAAAATCTCATTTTACTCCTAAAGGCTTTACTATCTCCTCTTAGGCCATCCACCCCTAAACACATAAAATAAAATAATTCACTAACATTTCACAAATTTAATTAAAATAAAACAATTAATTAAATACAAAAAGACAAGGTGTTACATGCTGCATATACACACCATATTCTATTTCATATTTCTTGAATCCCAGATGCTTGAAAATGAATCAATCTTCAAATCCCAAGCTGTTGGAGCTTGTTTCAGCATGTACAAGGATTTATGCAACATGTACGCCATCTCTTCTTTGTTCTCTTTCACAAATCCAGAAGGTTGTAACACATATATCAGAATGCACCGCATCCAAATCATGAGTTTCTCTTGGAGGCATTTCTGATGAGAATGACAATCTTAGTTATTTGCCTCTCATGCATATATCACATGATTTCTCTGGTGCCACAAATTTTGGAATTCCATGTACCATATTCTTTAAATTCAGATGCCATAAGCTTCTGTAGTTCAGATGTCCCAATCTCTTGTGCCACAACTCACTTTCTCCTTCAACACTTCTAGCACTAAGATATTGAGTGTTTGTTATTTCAACATTCACTTTGAATGTCCCGTTTCTTCCCAATTTAGAATGCATAATCAACTTCTGATTATAATCATACAACTTCAAGAGATTGTCCTTCATGGTTACTTAAAAACCTTTTTCAATCAGCTGACCTACATTTATTAGATTGCTATTCATTCTAGAAACATACCATATATCCTTAATCATTACAATTTTTCTATTGTTCAGTTTCACTCCGACATTTTCCATTCCTTTAACATTCAGATACTTATCATCAACACATTTGATCTTAGTCATTTTACTAGAGTCAAAATAAATCATCCATTGCTTCTTTCCAGTTAGGTGATTTGAGCAGCCAATGTACATATGCCACCAGTCTACCTTGTTCTACCTACATTCTTAGATGCCATCAATAGCACATGTTCATCATCAAAATCTCCTTTGGATATGTTGGCTTCTTCACCCTTTCTAACCTTGTTTGACCAACAACCAACAACAAAATGACCAAACTTGTTGCAACTATTGCAGTAAACCTTTTTCTCATCAAACTTCTCCTTTACCTTCTGAATATTATGATGTTTCTTATCAGAATTGGGGAGTTCTGACTTTTGAACACCACCACCACCATACTTTTTCTTGCTCTCTAGCCATGCTTGCTTCTGGTTCTTCTTGACAAAAGAAGTTTTCAGAGTCTGAGCTTTCAGAGCCTGTTCTGACTCCCTTTCAAAGTTTCTTTCAGTCAGACGCAACTTTTGTACCTCAAAACTACTAAAGCTATTTAATTCTCATGGTGCTGGTGTCTTTAGAATGTTATATGGCTACAACTATGTAATCAAACTGAGGAGTAAATGATCTCAATACCTTTTCAATGATTACTTGTTCAAAGAGAGTTTCTCTATAAGACTTTATCTCATTCATGACCACAATCACTCTGAAGATGTAATCAGGCAACTTTTCTTTGTTCTTCATGCTGAGATTCTCATATTTCTTGCGGAGGGGTTGTAACTTCACCTTCTTCATTGATGCGTCATTGCCATAACACCACAAAAGTGTATTCCACGTCACCTTCACCGTCATCGAATCAACAATTTTCTCAGACACCTTCATATTCACACACCAATGGATATAAAACAACGTCTTCTGATCCTTCTGTGAGTAGTAATGCGCCTAAGAGGGGGTGGG